AAAATAATTTTTTAGCTATTTATTATGAATTTTAGAAGATGCATAAAAAATTAAAGAAAATAAAAGAAAATAAAATGAAATAAAATGGAGGGGGTTTGAATAGCAGGGAAGGCACGTTCAAAACATTGGGCTTATTAAAATGGGGGGCGTGGATAGCGCTCTGAGCCCAACCCCCTAATTAATGAAACGCAGCGTTTCCTTTCCTTTGAAATTTCCCTCCGTTTCTGAAATTGAATGGGAGCCACACGATGAGATGATTAAGTCAAATGTTCTGGATAATCCAAGGGCACACAGTCATCGTCCCCAATTGAGCTAGGGTTTGCAGAAAAACCCAGATTCCATGCACAACCTTCAAGCTTCTCATTCTCCCTCCACACGCCATGAAAACGCACGATGTAAAAAGCGAAATTCATCCACTTCTTCCCCTCTACAAGTCTATAACCATAGTTTACCTTAAAACTCACTCTATCAATCAACCCGATGAGAATAACAGTCATGCATCAACATTTTCACCTGCCATCAAGTGCCTCAATTCGTACCAAAACCTATCCTCATCTACTCTACATCTCATACTAGTCATTTTAGGCTGCAAAGAGAGGATTATCATGCTATATTCCAAGTGTTACGAACCTCAACAGAATTTGTGCACCATGATCAAATCTCTCGAAACTTCCTCAAACTCATCCTATTCAGTCCTCTACCTTATCTTAACCATTCTACACTATCAAAACCCTACCATGCTACCTAAGCCAAGCAAAATGAGCAGAGATACCAACCTGTTAAAAATGGAGAAACAGCTATGGAGATCTTCAATTCAATACTTGCAAGGACTGGAAATTAATCTACACACCAACACTTTGATTCTGTATGCAAATATTTGGGCTCAAACTCCTTGCATCATGTGATTCCAATTTCTTGAACCTTGAATGATGAACTTTGTATGGCACTCTCCTTGATTGATTTAGCCAAATGAATGTGTGAATCACAAACTATGGATGATAGTGATGAGATTCAGATCAAGAATGATGAGAATTGGTGAGGGATTGAGGGAGTTTGAGAAGTTTATGCAAGAATGAAAAAATGTGGAAAACTTGAGATTTTGAGCAAATGGGAGCACCAACCCTTGCATGAACCAGCTTGCATGAATATATAGGTTGCATTAGAACCTCCTAGAACATTGGAGAAGTTTCCCTTGTGCAAAATTCCCTTGAATGTTGATTATGTTTCTTATATTGCAAGCAACCATGGATAACTCCTAAATCTTGAACTAGACTCAAAATTCCACTTTAGCCAATGTCCTTAGAATGCCTTTTCCATTCAAAATGACCTATAATTTTGCATCATTTGGCCAAGATATGAAAAATACCATTTTTTAAGCCATTTTCCTTCATTAAATTCACCAATCTCTCATGGTCACTTTTCTAGACTCAAAATGTCATTTGGAGCAAGTTTGATGTTGTAAGTTTTTCCATTTGAAGCTTCCTTGTATGAGTTTTGGGCATAGGTTAAAATGACCTGTAATTCACAAATGACCAAAATACCCTTTGCTTGCCAAGACCATAAATTGAGTTCCACACATCATATGAAGGCATACTATACCATTCTAGAAATCTAAGACAATGAGGAACAATTCTTATGTTGACCAGAAATTCATTTGAAATCTCCTTGAGGGGTAAAACTAGCTTGGAAGTCAAGTCACTTTTGCAGACAAAATTTCAGATACCTCAGATGACCTGTAACTTGCAAGGACCATAACTTGAGTTCTATAAATCTCCTTGATGTCTTCTACCACTCAAATTAAAGGTCTTGAGATCCTCTACAAGTTTCATGTTGGACAAGGATCCATTTGGAGCTAGAATTTTGACTTATCTTGCTTGGAAATTTGACCTAAACTAGGGGATTTTACACAGAAACCCTAATTTAGAAACTCCTCTTCTCCTTGATTTCTCTTGAATTCTTCTTGGCATATCTCCATATCCTTCTTTATATGTCAAATGATGCTCCCCACATCTCTCCAATGTACTTGAATGCCCTTTAAATCAGTCAATTGACTTAGGGTTGACCTAGGGTTGAGCCAGATGAAACCCTAGTTGACTGCCTTCAACTGCAATTCTTGTGATCACATCAGCAACTTGTTTCCTTCTCCAAATGACTTTCTAAGTCCTCCAAGATGTCTAGATAACCTCCCTTCCTTCAACTCACAGCTCACAACCCTCTTGTTGACCCTCAGATACCCTCAGCTAGGAGATGGACTCAAGGCTTGATCTGCTGAACTCTCTGCTTTCAAATTCTTTCTTGATGACTTGAATGAGATGGAATTAAGATAATAACCTCTTGATGGGCCTCTAGAGATGAGAATAATGGTTGGTCCCCTGTTGAATGACTTGCTATGCTTATGCTATGCAGATGATTAGACTATGCACATGACTCTATATGCAAATGCTAATGACATTGAAACATAAACCAAGTGAATAAGGTTGGGCAAATTTTAGGGTGCAACAATCATCACTAGATTTGATTGATCAAGATACCATTCCTTCGTCTTTTCGATTAAGGAATGCAGAAATAATCTCTTAAACAAGGACTCCTCTTCCGCTTTCGGCGCATCCATTGCACCCTCAATTTCATAGAATTTAGTGAAATGTGTGAACGGATCCTCATGGTCCATACCAGTAAAAGGATTTTGATACAAAAGAGCAAGGATACCCGTTTTCATCTCAGAATGCCTCCAAGGTGTTGCACGCAAAATGAGTGTTGTGTCTTGGACTTTTAACACATGGGGTTGAAGCAGGAGGTGGTGGTGGTTCAACCATGATTGGTGTAACAATGGGTGTAGATGAAGAAGATTCCCCGTGCTCTTGTCTTTCTTTAGCAAGTTGCCTTCTCCGTGTAGTTCTGCTATTGAGCATACGGGCAATTCTTTCAATCTCAGGATCAAAAAGAAGTTAGTATGCAAGTACACTTCCTCACATAAACAGATTTTGCATACTTAACCAAACAAATTAAGCAGCACAAGAAAAATACAGAGGTAAGCATACAATACAAAGTTCTTAAATCAATAAACCATTGCAATGCTTGCAATATCAAACAATCCCTAGCAACTGCGCCATTTTGTTCGAATCATAGTTAAAGGGGGAGTTTGTTATCGTCTTCACATGGATTGCAGATGTTTTGATGTTTCCCGTTCAACAGTTTATTTTTTCAAGAGAAAAGGTTTTTTAAGTTTTGTTTATAAAATTGTCACATTTTTAGTAACAAAGCTTATAAATTCTAAAGAGTTTCATTAATAAAGTATATCAAAATTAGTTTTCATCTACCCTAGCTTATACATATTCTTTCAATCTAGCATGTGAAGTCGGATACGATTAATATCGTCGCGCATTCTCTCAACATCGTATATGTCTAGAGCAGCGTTGTGAGAAATACTGTATTTATCGATACACAATTTCTCCATATAACAACCAATATGGTAAGCTTTAAGTTCAACATAAAGCAACTATCTATCATAGACCGATTTCTCCAATATATAAATCGATAAATGAATATTTAGGTCAAGTTTTATAAAATCTATGTATAGAGTTTTACAAAACAAGAATGGATCATTAAGAACAAAAATATTCATCATATATTAATTATCACTTGTTCACATACAAGGCTAATCAAAAGAAATACATACAAGCTAATGGTAGACTACCTCTACCTTTGATACAAAGCAATTTAGCTACCCATCACCATGGTATCTTGCTTTACAAGTCTTGGAAGAAGATGAATGAGTACCCACGTCGAAGAATCAAACTCGAATGAGAATCCAGCTTCTATTTGCAAAATATCACCTTTTGGGGAAGAAATGCTGAGAAATATAGTTTTGGTGTGACAAATGGGTTACGATCCTTAAAACGTGTGAAAAGTACTTATATAGTGCTTTTGGAATCTATCATGTTCGCACTATGAACCATTTCTTCGTCCAACGAATACACTTTTAGGAACACGAAGTGCCTCTGCAGTTAAATCTCCTCTGAGAAATATCTAAAGTTCGTTGTGCAAGTAATTCTTCGCACTGTGAACTGCCTCACTACAAGTTCGCACAAAAAACTTATGATCTTTTTGCTAATGCCTCAAATCTGGGATGGTTCACTAGTCCTTCGCTGATACTTCGCCACAACAAACATTCGTTACTAGTTCACCCAATGAACTTAGTGCCCTTTTCTTACTGCCTCTAAATTGAGAGGGTTCGCTGGGGCTTCGCCATGAGTTCGCCCAGTGAACATTCGCTGCTACTCCTCGCTGGCTGTTCGCACAACGAACATGTTGAATCTCTTTTTTTCCTTTGGATTTCTTGTCCAATTACTTGTGCCTTACACTTTAATGTTTTTATACCTAATTTCTGCATAATAACACACAAATTAAAGCAACTAAAGGTATTTTCAACAATATTGAAGAATAATATGATATCATGGAGTAAATCCAACAAAACATGATAAAAGAGTTAAAAAATGTCAATAAATAAGGATCAATTTAAAGCAAGTTTGGCATTAAACACGGGGCAGTGGGATGTTTTGAACCATTGTTTGGTGTGTTTGAAGTGTGATATAATTGATTAGGGACCCAAACCATTCAAAATTATTCGGGGGTCGTTTGATCATAAAGGTTTCTTAGAATTCATTGAGAAGGAGTGAGGTTGTTTGAAGGTAGAGGGTAAAAGGGCTTTCATGCTTAAAAAGGATCTCAAATTGTTGAAGGTGAGACTTAGATGGTGGAACCAAGAAGTTTATGGTTGGGTGGATTTGCATTTAGAAAAGGCGGTTTCAAATCTGAACATGATCGAAGATAAGTGGTCTAAGGGGGAAGGTTTTAATTATTTTGAACAATTGGAGAAACAAAAATCTTTAAGTAATTATTTTTGGAGTTTTTTACTCGGAAGAGAGAGTTTGCTCAGTCCAAAAGAGAGGGTGAAATGACTCAAATAAGGAGATACGAATTCAATATTTTTCCACAGAGTGATGTCAGCTCGTAACAAAAAGATGAATATAATTCATATCGATACAGAGGAAGGTAGAGTGGAGGGTGTTCTTGAGGTAAAAGGTTGCATCAAGAGGTACTTCGAAAAGAGTTATAAGGAAGATATAGATGCTCATATGGTGTTAACGGGTATTGATTTCAAAGACTTGTTAGTTGAAGATAATGTTATGTTGGAAAAGTCTTTCTCTCTTGAAGAATTGAAGGATGCTATTTGGGATTGTGATGGGGACAAAACACCGGGTCCCAATGGTTTTTCTTTAGAGTTTTTCAAGAAGGGGTGGGATTTTTTGAACGAGGATCTTATGAATTTTCTCAATGAGTTCTACATTTCAGGTAAACTTCTTAAAGCTTTGACGGGTTCGTTCCTTGCTCTTTTTCCTAAGGTGGAGATTCCCTAATCTTTGGGTGAATATCGACCTATTTGTTTGATTTCTAGTTTTTACAAGATCATGTCCAAGATTTTGATGGGGAGATTGAAATAAGTGATTGGTAAAGTCATCCCTCTTAGTCAAACAAAATTTATACCTAGCCGAGAAATCTTTGATGGTGGTGGTTGTAAACGAACTTATAGATTATGCTAAGAGAGTCAAGAAGGAGTGTTTATTTCAAAAATGCGCATGACTGTGTTTCATGGAGTTTCCTAAGATGGACGTTCGATAGGCTTAGTTTTTGTTCTAGATGGAAGTTAGGGATGGAAGCCTGTGTTTTTGAGATGTCATTCTCCGTGTTGGTCAACAACAGTTCTATCAAGGATTTTTTCGGTTCGAAGGGGATAAGACAAGGAGATATGTTATCTCATTTTTTATTTGTTTTAATCAGCTAAGGCATGGCAGGACTTGTGTCAAAGGCCAAATTGAGTGGGTTGTTCAAGGGAATCAAATGCGGGGAACATTATGAGTTTGACATTCTCCGATTCATGGATCATACGATTCTAGTGGGTGAATACAGTTAGCAAAATTTATAGGCTTTGAAGGCAAGTTTCAGAGGTTACGAACTGGCATCTGGTTTATAAGTGAATTTTGGTAAGATCAAGATTTATGGTTTAAACACGGTGGATTCTTTATTGGAAGCAGGGCCAGACTTTTTGAGTTGTTGTTCGGGTAGAATTCCATTTAAATTTTTGGGTATTGTGGTTGGTTCTAATCCTATGAGGGTGGCATCATGGAAAAGAGTTATTGATTATTTGAAGATTAATCTTTCAAGGTGGAAAGGCGAGTTTCTTTCTATTGGTGGTAGGATAACTATCTTGAACTCAACTCTCAACAGCGTTCTAATTGTTAGAACACATATTGGTTCTTAATAATATCTCTTTGTTTTGATGATAACTACTAGGAAATTTTGTATTTAAGAATTATATACTCTAAAATTTGCTTGAGAGTTTTACTGCAGATTGTAATGAAATTAACACTCCAGAAGCAAATTTGAATTGTATACAAGAAATTAACTTGACTCTGAAGCGCCAGATGCACTCATTAGAAGATTCTGATTGCTGCTAACAGAAGATCCTGAGCGTAGCCTCCAGAAGGATCTGAAGCAAGAAGCTCCAGAAGATTCTGAAGCAGAAGGTCCAGAAGAATCTGAAGCAAGCAGAAGCATCTGAAGCAAAGAAGAATAGTGTATGAAGAGTTTTTCAAAGCATAGTTTCTACAGAAGATTCTGAAAGTACTAAAGCTGCCAGTACTGAAGTTCTGTGTCAAATATGCTCTGATGATTAACACGCTGAAAGCACACATGCTGCAGAAGAATCTGATACAACAAAGTTCTGAACATCATTAGAAGACTCTGACCCAATCAGATTCTGATGAACTTGCTGAAAACTGAAGAAGAAATACTCAAAGATTATATCCGTTGGAGTAAATCAAACGTCTCTTTCCTCATTTGTGCTAGACACAAGAACACAGACAAAAAGGATTTTTCTGTGCTTTCTACTTCTAGGAAAGGTCACTTAATGTGAAGACAAAAAGGCTCATACCTTTTTGGGACACTCTTCTCAACGTTCAGCTCACCTTGGATCAGCTGCCTATAAAAGGAAGACTCCACCAAATTCTTCAGTTAGACATTTTGCTGAAAATAAATTATAACATTCAAGCTCTCATACTTTCATATTCATTCTTAGAATTATTTGTACTTAATCTTAAGAGAAATATCACTGTTGTGATAAAAGCTTTTTAGAAGCATTCATACTCTTGTATTAGATTTACATTGATTGTAAAGGATTTCCTTAAGAGGATTCAGTTGGAATCAGTAGCTCTTGAGAAGACTAAGAACAGTTGTTCTTAGGTGTTACTATTGTAATCTGTTTGATTAAATAGTGGATTAAATCCTTGTTGAGAAAGGCAAATCACTCTAGGAAGGGTGGACTGGAGTAGTTGAGTTCAACGAACCAGGATAAAAATAATTGTGTTTTAATTCTAAGTTTTAATCTTTCATACTTATTCAACCCCCCCCCCCCCTTCTAAGTATTATCTCACCTTCAGTTGGTATCAGAGCTCTGGTTCTGTGTGTGCTACCACTTAACAGTGACAGTAAAGATCCAGAGAGAAATACTTTGATATATATTTATTTGTTACAATGGCTGATAATACAATATCCAACATTAACAATAAATATGAAGAAAGGGACAGAATCAGCACCAAACCCCCTATGTTTGATGGGGAGAAATTTGATTACTGGAAAGACAGAATTGAGAGTTTTTTCCTTGGATATGATGCTGATCTATGGGATCTAGTCATAGATGGATATGTCCATCCCACAGATGGGAATGGCAAGAAGATAGACAGAAAATCTATGACAGATGCTCAGAAGAAAGATTTTAGAAATCATCACAAGACCAGAACTATATTATTGAATGCAATTTCTCATACTGAGTATGAAAAAATTACAAATAGGGAAACTGCTTTTGATATGTTTGAATCCTTAAAAATGACTCATGAGGGAAACTCTCAAGTCAAGGAGACAAAAGCTCTGGCTCTGATCCAGAAGTATGAGGCCTTCAAGATGGAAGACTCTGAATCTGTTGAAGCCATGTTCTCTAGATTTCAGATCCTCACAGCTGGGCTAAAGGTTCTGGACAAGGGATACTCTACATCAGATCATGTAAAGAAAATCATCAGAAGTCTACCTACCAGATGGAGACCAATGGTGACTGCCTTCAAGATGGCTAAAGATCTGAACAAGATCTCTTTAGAAGAACTCATCAGCTCACTGAGGAGCCATGAAATTGAGCTTGAGGAAGATGAACCTCAGAAGAAAGAAAAAGGTAAATCTGTTGCCTTAAAATCTAATAAATCTGCTAAAGCTTTGCAGGTTATTGAAGAAAGCTCTGAAGAATCTTCTTCTGAAGAAGAAGATGAATTATCCATGCTGTCCAGAAGGATCAACAGACTCTGGAAGCACAAGGGAAAGAAGTTCAACAACTTCAGAAGATCTGATCATAGAAAGGAATCTTCTGGGCACAGAAGATCTGGCAAGAAAGAAGTTGTATGCTATGAGTGCAAAGAACCTGGGCATTACAAGAATGATTGCCCCAAACTTCAAAAAGAAAAACCCAAGAAGAAGTTTAACAAAAAGAAGAAGGTTCTGATGGCAACATGGGATGACTCAGATGAATCTGAATCATCTTCTGAATCAGAAGAAGAATGTGCTAATGTTGCACTGATGGCCAGCACAGAAGATCAGGAGGAAGGAACCTCAGGATATGAATCAGATTATGAATCTGATGATGATGCTGAAGAGGTAATGGCCAAACTTACTAAAGAAGAACTTATAAAAGTTTTATCAGAAGTTCTTAAAAGTTATAACAATATCAAACTCAAATACAAGAAGCTGAAAAGCAATCTTGAATCTGAGATTGATCTTCTGAAGACAGAACTTGTGGAGCAAAAAGAAATTAATCTGAAAATAAAAAATGACTTTGAAATAACTCAACAAGAATCTGAATCTGAGACTAAGTCATATGAAAACATTTTAGAAAAATATGACTCTAGCTTTCAGAGATTCCTTACTAAGAGCATAGACAGAAGCAAGATGGCTTCTATGATCTATGGTGTTAGTGGGAACAACAGAAGAGGTATTGGATATGAATTTTCATCTGGAAGTAATCCAAAATCTGTTGACAAACTTTTCATCAAGAAGACACCTCTGTATTCTCAATTTAAATTTGGTCACTTAAATGACATTATGTCACACGCTAATTTTTGACCATAAGATCCCACCTCCTTGTGTGTTTTATCATGTTACTTTTGTATATATTTATTGCGCTAACCAAATCGTGCAGATGCAATGATTTCAGACGGAGATAATATCCATTCTTCCCATTTTAAAATACTCCACGACGTGGTCAATTGAGCCTGTTTCAGAATGATTGCGGGGTTTTATTGGTTTTCCTCGGCACCTCTTAAAATCATCAACGCCTACCCCTGAGGAGAAGTGGGATTTTTTTGGCATATTCATTTGAGGACTAATCGTAGTCATTTAAAGCTTCATTAAGACAAAGGTGCTTCACACTGATTATAGATGGGGATCTTATCAAAATGAATATAATTAATTTGTGACTAACTAATGGGTTCGTGATTCGGGAGTAATTTCAAGCGGCATCAAGTTCATAAGCATTCTATTTGGTTGAAGGATTTGGCCTAAGTTGTTTGTGAGTTTCTTGAGATTTAATGGCGAGGTGGTTTATTCAAGTCCAAAGTTTGGTATTTTGTCATCACCAACCAAGCATTCAATTACATGCAAAGATGGTTTGAGAAAATACTCATTAAGCCGCGTTGAAAAACATATCAGGCCTTTTTGGTTAACAAGATTTCATTTTTAATATACCTCCACGAACACGTGTCCCCGTCATATGAAATAAGAGCATCTCTTTTATTTTACTGATGCTAACGAGCTTGCATAGTTATCATTGGAGAAGATAAAACAATACAACCTTTAAACATTTTCCATTTACACTTTGTCTACTACATTTTATAAACATACGTCCTACACCTAAAATCAAGGATTGAAGCCTTCTCAAGCTACCGCGTCCTGGCTGCATTTGAGCTCTTCCTTTATTTGTCACCGAACCCACCAGAAACCTTTCCGACAGTGGCATAGAACCGGCATTTTCGGAACCGCTAACGGTGTCCTGGAAGAAGAAAAGGAAGCATATCAGCTGCAAACAACAACAGGCAAAACGTTCGCAAGTGACAGCAGCACATATTTTAGATTTCGCAAGCAATATGCCACGGTAGTTTCAACATGTCAGCTGCAGATAGTAGTACAAACAACATTACAATGACAGATGCGAGCAAGCATCCACAATGGCATAACAGCCACACTGGCAAAGCAAATAACAAGTACTTCAACAATTCATAACAATCATGACTAAGGCACATCCGCAGCACCTGCAGAAGAGCAA